CTTGAGGCGGGATCTGCCCCTGGGTGACGTCACGGGCTGGAGCGGCGGCTCCGGAAGGCTGGATGAGTGACAGCCCAGCCTACTTTTTAATAGCTTTGTCATGTGACAGGGAACAGTAGTAAGACAGGTGCCTTCGGTTCACTCTCAGAGAGGGTCTCGTTGCCTGCATGAGTGTCTGCTACCTGCCTGCCTCTGGACTGTAGTTTGCAAGCTTTCCTGCCGTCGCTCCGCAGCTGGATGGCGTGGGACATGTGCAACCAGGAGTCTGTATGGAGCGACCTGGAGGTGAGCGGGGCGCGGGCGGTGCGGGGCGCGGGCGGCGGGGCCGGTGGGCTCCTCGGGGAGCCGTCAGGGCGGCCGAGCTGGCAGACTTTGCAAACAAGTCCGAGTCTTATCTTAACTCCAGTAAGTTTGCTATTTTAAGGTTACTCTGCGATGCCTTGAGCAAATCAAAGCGGAGCTCCTGTCATCAGTATCTCCTGCAGTTGGAAACTATTTTCATGTGCCTCTGGCTCGCTTTCCTGTCATATGCAATATTTATGCTCTAAGATATTGATATGAATTGGTGTCTGAAGTCTTTCCAGTGGTGTTTAGTGGCCTGGTTGGAAAAATGCCATATTTATTTACAATAAGATTAACATTTATTTTTTTTTAATGAAAAAAAAAGTTAAAATTAACCAGTGATTTATAATTTAATCGATTGTTTCACTGTGCTCTGTCAAAGGTTTTTTCCTTGTTTATATAGCTGCAGAATTCAAACACATACCAGAATGAATACCCTGTTGTTTGGCTTTGGATGCTTTTAAAAGAGATTTCTGGAAGGAGACGTTTCCCTGCTTCTTGTGGTATTGGAATAATGACACTGTAGCTAATATCCTGTAGAGCAGGGTTCTTAGTCAATCTGAGTAGTCCAACAAATGGTTAAATCTCACTGTACAACAGAGACAACAGGATGAACCATGAGAATAGAGTTTATGCAGGACTGTGTGAACTGCTGCTGCTGCTGCTGCTGCCGCCGCTGCCGGCCGATGCTGCTGCTCGTGTAAAAATAGACGGCAATACATCAAACCCACAGCTTCTGCTGGCTACAATTCATAAAGAGGGGGAAAAAAAAGGGCAAGCAGCTCCCTGTTAATCTCTGGAGTATAAAGTGAGGTTTGAGGATTTCTGCGTGTTTGCATTCAGCAAAATGGAGTGTTACCTGAAAGTTCGGGCAACTTGTGAAGTGAGGCAAACTTTCTTTGGACCCCATGGAGAGGACTCCCAAATACAGACCTGCTCAAAGGAACTAACCCTCTGGCTGCAAGCTTGGAATAAACGCTTAAAATGCTCCCCTCGGGTGACAGGGGAGGGAAAAGCAGGTTACAGGCAGTGCTTTTTAAATAAGATGTTTGTGCTGTAGAGAGCTACCCAACTAAAGTAAAAATGTTACTGTGTTCTCCGGTATATTTTTCCTATCTGGTGGAGCATGCATGTGGATTCTCCAATCTTTTTGTCATGTTTTAAATATTTGCAGCTTGCCATTGTATCCACTGATTTCTGTTTGCATATTGTAATTGCTCTTATCTTGTTTTGATTTCTTGGTAAAGTGGAATAGATATGGATAATTCATATGTCCTGTAGCTATTATGAGTCAAGACTGTAAGTGGATGACTTTCTGGCTCCAAAGTCCTAATTGTTTCTGAGTAGCTGGAGTATCCTGTGGGTTGTTGTCTGGCTTGTAGCATGGGTCTCAGCTGCCGTTGCTTCATTTTTCCATCATGTATTATTCCTAATGCTGCTAGGAGCTGATTGAGGAACCAGCTTATATGGAAATACTGAAGATTTATTTTAATCACTAGAGTTCCTGCAGTAATTTCAAGCTAGTAACAGAATAGATAATTTATGTCAATGACTTCTTCATAGTGTGGAGGAAAAAAAACTGAAAGAAAAAAAGCTTTGAGCTTAATATTAATTGGGTGGTGGATGGATTAACTGTGGGTAGGATTTTACCAACATGCTCGTGCATTGTACTTCCTACAGCAACACAGTAGTGTCCGTGTGCTGCTTTGGCTCGGGGGATCACCTTTACTGATCAAAAATATTGCAGGCAGCAGGTACTGGAGGCAGCTTTCATTTTTTTGAAGCATTACATTCTCACTCACATAATGACAGGACGACGTGTTGCTTAATAAAGGCCTGCATTACTGTAGCTGATCAGCATCCCCAGTGCTTCACAGCTTAATGAAGGTGATGTACAGTAAGGTTGCAAAGATAGATAGAGAGAATCCACATGACACACGTTTTCTCAAGTCTGTCTTTCTTTCCTGGGTTCATCCCCTTGTCTGTTTGAAAAACTTGTTAAAAATAAAACACAGATAATATTTTCTTAATATCATTAATATGGCACAAGTCCCGTCTTTTTTTTTCTTCTTCTTCTTCTTTTTTTTCAAATTTACCTTCAAAGGCACAAAAATGTCCAAAAGGTTAATGGAGAGTGATACTTAATTATACTGATTCATTATCATCAGTGCAGTTAAGCTAATTTATTGTTTGCACCTGAACTAAGAGAGAAAAAGTCTGTTGGAGTGAAGTAACGTGCAGTAATTAACCTTTTGTGTTAAATGACTGCTTTATCCTCCTAAATATTACTATAAAATTAAAACTATAGTTATGGAATAACTATCATATCAAATAATGATGGGAAAACAGTAACATGTATGCCAGCAATGCAGGTGCACCTGTTACCGATGTATAGGCAAACAGTAAATATCAACATGTCAGATGAGGACAGTTTTAGGACTTGGGGTGTTAAATCTGGCATCATTCAAAGGCCAAATATAAATTAATAACAGGAACACTTGCTACTAATGTGTCTTAGATTAGAAGCATAATGTCATATTCAGAAACATTGATTTTATTATCATGTCAGCATTGGCAAGAGCATATATATTTCATTTCAGCAATTACATTTTTTTGTGACATTGCAGTCACTACAGGCAAATGAAAACTGGTATGAACAGGACTTTTTTTTAAATACAATTGTTTATGCTGCTTCAAAAGCCAACTGTAGGGACTTAAAAATGCAGATTACCAAGAGTAAACATGTTTAAGTAGGTGGTTCACATAGTGAAGCTA